AAGGAAAGGAAAGGAAAGGAAAGGAAAGGAAAGGAAAGGAAAGGAAAGGAAAGGAAAGGAAAGGAAAGGAAAGGAAAGGAAAGGAAAGGGCATAAAAAAGAATTAAGATTTGTTACATATATGTACCAATTCTCCATGATGAATGTGAGCATTATGTACTGAAAACATGTACTGATAAAGTAAACTTTTCCATTTCAGCAAAACAATTTAAAAAACATAATATTAACAGAATTTTAAATCAGTAACTGACAAGAAGATTGATTTTCAAAAACTGATTGCTTTAGCATGGATTGTGTAAAGCATTTTCTAAAAATGAATACAAAAATAAAAATCTTTCATTGTTAAAGTAGAACAGAATATCAAATGACACTGACAGACCACAGTATTTCTGCATTTTAAATTCATATTTAATTTCAAATAAAACATTGTGATGCCTCTGTCATTTTCCAATAAAAGATAACCTAAGTAACTGATGACATATTTTCAAGTAAAAAAGGGTTTTAAAATAAACCAGAAGAAAACAGAGTAGTTCTGAGTTTGTATATACTTTTTTCAAAATAAATGTGTATGTTTCCAACACACAAAAGTCAGCCAACTGAACAAAAAATATTTTGTCAATCATAGGTTTATATTTAATGAGAAAAATTTGCCATATCCAAAAACTGTTTTACCATTGGCAGAGTGCATAGTCTTTCACCAATAATAATGAAAAATAGTCATCATTCTGGCCTGCCATTATGGACACACCTCTATATTGACTATATTTCTTGGCATTACATGCACAAAATATAGTTCACTGATTAGTAGTTTACTATTAAAATTTCTTCTGGGCTTTAGAAACTTATTTCAGATCCTAGAAAGACCTAAATATAAACATTGAGCTGGACACAGTCACACCTTTCTAAATATCCTTTCTTCATAACTAACTACTACAAACTGTTTTTCAGAACACATTATAAAGCTAGATTTAAAATCTCTGGCAATTAACTTATGTCCCAAAGGATTTCTTTTGAGTTATTTTTATATATTTGCTTATTTCATGCTTACTATGTGCTAATTTTACTGATGATTGAACTGTGTGTAAAAGACATTTCTCTTATAGTACCCCCCCGTATGCTTAGAGGCTATGCCTGAAGACCCCTAATCAATGCCTGAAACTGTACATCATATGAACCCCTATATATATTGGGTTTTTTCCTATACATATATGCCTGTGGAAAAGTTCAATTTAAAAATTAGGCATGGTAAGAGATTAACAACAATGATTCATACTGAAATAATTATAAATTATAATATATAGAATAATTATAGCTAAATATTAAAATTGCTACGTGAATATGACCTTACAAAATACCCTACTGTACTGTACTTACCCTTCCTGTGATTTTGTGAGCGGACATAAAGCCTATGTGATGAGATGAAGAGCCATAAATGACATGGGTATTGATACAGGGTTAGGTTACTATTGAAAAAGGTTCATCTACGTTGAGTGATACTTGATAATGGATCACTAAACTATAATTGTATGAAGCAAGTAGTGTATCAAATAAGGATATATTGTATAAAGGGATGATTCGTGTCCCACGTGAGACACAGTGAGACTGGCTGTGATTTCGTCACACTACTCAGAACAGTGGGTGATTCAAAACGTACAAATTCATTATTTCTTGAATTTTCCATCGAGCATTTTCAGACCACAATTGGACACATGTAACTGACACCCTGGAAAGCAAGACACAGGACGGCGAGATGGTGATATTGCATTAAATATTTGTTTTTATGAGGAAGCATTAGAAAGTATTTTCTAAACAGAGCACACGGGAAGATAGCAAGACATTTGTATTTTATTTGTGGAAAGAGTAATGGTAATTCCTGTGTAAGAATCTTTCTATGCTTTATTTTGTCTTTCTATGAATTTGCATTTAGAATTAATTTCACTGTTTTTATGATATAGATAGAATACAGATGAATATATTTTAGTTTTTCTGCAATAGAGCAACTGACCTTCCTAAAATGAAGCACAGAGATATTCTAAATAAACTTTCACTTTCATAGTCCAAAGTTGCAGAAAGAAGACAAAATCTACCCTGTACCCTGAGTTCACCACATCATTTCAGCAATGCTCTTGTGTTTTAGCAAATCAGAATAATCCTTGAAGGAAAAATGTACTGATAAAGGCATAGGTGTTTGAATTAGCATCCTGTCGGAAAGCATCATATAGTTTCTTAATAGTATTCAACAGCATTCCCTGTATCAAAAATGTTTTATGTTACTTACTGTCAAATGTTTCATTGTTTTCAAATATGATAAAAGTCAGCTACATTGTATAATATGAAGGAATATATAGAGAAATAAAACCTGGACAGTGTCCTCAAAATGTCTGAGTCTAGCACAAAATGGGCAATAATTTTTGTCGAAAGAGTTATATAGAAAATAATACTGGCGTTGTGGACCATGTGGTCTCTGTCACATCCAGGCAATTCTATCCTTGTAGAATCAAACTACCCGTACATAACAGATACATTAATGTGTGTTGGCTATGTGTTTTTGCTTTTTCTGGCAGCCAGACTTGAATTTGTCCCACAAATTGTTCAGTGATTTCTGATCTAACTCTGTGACAGCAGAGAGGCCACATTTCTATTGTCTATGCTTATTCACTTGGAAGGATGAGTTAAACTTTGTTTTTGCAGAATTTTGAGGCTACAGACAGAAGTATGGGATGATCAATTAGCAATGGTTTTGCATACACTTTGGGGGATGTTTGTAGAAATGTCATCTTTCAAACTATTTCAACAGGGAAGAGATACTAGCAATTAGTTACTAAGACTTGTAAGAATGCCATAAAAGATAGATTATACAGGGGAAAAAGTACCCCACACATATAGCAAATACCTGAAGTACCTGTTAAAGATTCACAAAGAGGAACCAATAGTTTGTCTGAGTACTTCTAATCTGCAATATTTCTTGCCAGATAGTAATAGAATATTTTTAAAAGCCATGAAAATCACAAGCAATAAGCAAAAAGAAGATATGGATGAGGATATAAAAATAAAAACTTCTATATATCAAAATAGTGTGGAAATACTTTTTAAAAATGAGAATGTAGACAAAACTACAATATATTAGGCAGAGATACAATGGACAGATAAAAGGTAGTTTTATATATTATGAGCTTTATATAATTAAAGAGAAACTAATTGAAGAAAAAAGACCAACACAACAAAAGAAAAGAACATAAATAAGAGAATATTTTAGTATATGTGCTGCTGAGGTGCCCACAAATAAGAAAATAAAAGACAATGTCAAAATGGTATGTAGAAATATATATTTATCTATTAAGTAAATATTTATTCAAACAAAATGAAATACTTATTCATCAAAATTATCACAAATGCTCACCTGAAAGATGATATTTAAGGCTTCAAAATAATAGGTCTCCAGCTGCGCGTGGTGGCTCACACCTGTAATCCCAGCACTTGGGAGGCTGAGGCAGGAGGATCGTTGAGAGCTCGAGACCAGCCTGGGCTGCAAAGCAAGCTCAAGGCCAGCCTGAACTGCATAACAAGACCTTCTCTCAAAAAGACCAAAAAAAAAAAAAAAAAGGTAGTAATAGGTCTCACTACTATTTGCACATTCATGTATATGTGTAACCACTCACTCACATATCCCAGAATTTCCTCAGGTCCTATTGTATGTTCACTCCTTGAACAGAGAGCATAGTCATGCACTTTTTGTTCACTAAAAGTTCATTAGTAATGATAAAAGTGAATGAATTATGGTTAAATATTTCCTACCCAAGGGAAGTCTCAACTACCTAAGTCCTTTCAGAAAGTACAAATGTATGGGCAACTTACCTTACTCTTACTAGGTGTCCAGAGATGCACATACATTTATCAGGCATGCAGGCGTTAGGGGCCAGCGCAGGGCAATGTCTTCTCAGGGCTATCAGATGGAGACTTGCAAAGCTGGGAGGCTGATATCTGTCTCACTGAAGAGACAGAGGATGAGTGGCTGAAGGACCTCACCGGAAATGCAGGTGAAAAGCAAAAGGTGGAAGCAGTTACACTGGGCAACTAGAAATCAAAGAGAAAGGGTAAAAAATGAAGCAAAGATGGGAGTATTAAAATGATAGAATTAAGAATTTGAAAATTGCTACACAGAAAATCTATCTTTAACAAACATAGAATACACATTATTTTCAGGTACTGAAGGAATAGCCTCAAAAGACTCTAGTCAGTATTGTACAGACTATGTCGTTTGACTACAAAAAAATTAGAAATACATAGTTTAAAGAACAGGGCAAAATCAAATGTACTTAGAAACTAAAATCATACTACTAAGTAATCTTTAGATTAAAGAAGAAATAATTTTTAAAATAGTAACATTCATAATCCTACTAGCAAAGTAAGGATTTGTGATAGCAGAATGCTGAGATAAATGTACTGTTTTAAAATATATTCATCAGAAGTCAACAATAATATATGCATTCAATAAGTGGGAGGAAGAGAGAGTAGTAAATTAGAAATATGAAACAAATTAGAAAGGAGGAAACAAAAACAGAAATAAATGAAGAAAATAGAGCATAAAGGAAATTATATAATCAAGAAATGATTACTTTAAAAGGTTAATCAGATTAAAAGTACTGGAAAGACATCAACAGGACAAGAGATAAAACCAAAAAAATATGAATGAAAACAAAGCAAAATACTATAAAATTTCAACAAGTAATGCAATACAAGTAATACGTATGTTCCAGTAAACCTAAGAAGAAGTGAGAACATTGCTAGAGAAAGCCACGTAAATGGCTAAATTTTGCAGAAGAAACCTGAGAAGGGCAATTCTTTGTGTGATTCTTCTTTGTTCTGGCCTAATTTTCAACACATTTACCTTCTATTTGCCCCTTCCTTCACTTCTCCCTAAGAAGAGACAGTGCTTTGTTTGGCAGACTTGTAAGAAGGGATAGGGTATGCTGCAATCCCATCTCATCCATTCTCACCAGCTGAAAGGTGAATTATAATCTGTCATAAAATAAAAGGCTTGGCCAATTCATGGGTAAACTATTTGCAGGTCCATTTGGCTACACATCTAAAGTCCTAACTTGCATTCACCTTATCTTGATCTTTCTCTGACTCATGTGTATATACACTAGTTCTAAACTTTGAAAGGGATGAAATTAGCTTATCACACTGATTCAAATGTCAATAACTATAAATAAATTAAAACAGCAATCAGATTCATCTCTATCTACTGCCCCACATATAATAAAGTGTTAGGTCCAACTGAAAATGAGAGAGAAACCTTACAAACCATTTTATGAAGCTAATATAACTGTGATTTCAAAAGTGGGAAAGGGCAGATCATGAAAGGAAATTTAAAGAGCAATGTCCCTTATAAGCATAAACATGAAGGTATGAAAAAAGACATTAGACAGCCAGTTATGAGGCAGAATAACAGTAATGTGAGGCTGTGGATGTAGCTCAGAGGTAGAACATCTGCCCAGCATGTGTGTGACACTGGGTTCAATCCTCAGCACCACAAAATGAATCAATGAACACATACATGCATACATACATATATACCTGAAGGAGGAAGGAAGGAGACGGAGAGACAGAGAGAGACAGAGAGAGAGAGAGAGAGAGAGAGAGAGAATGAGCATGGCACGATCAAACAGGATTATTCTTAGGAATGTAATACTGATTTAAAGTAGGAAAAATGTCTCTAAGTTCTTATCCTTAAAAAGTAAGCAAAATGATGACTTTACCTCTTTCAGAAAAATACCTACAATGGAACAAGCTTGGCCAAACTGAACTTCTAATTTTAATGTTTAAGGAATTTCCATACTGCTTTGCATAGTGGTTGTACCAATTTACACTCCAGTCAACAGTGAAGGATTTCTTTTTCCCCCCACACCCCTGCTAGCATTTGTTTTTGGTTGATTTCTTGATGACAGCCATTCTTTCTGGGGTGAGATGGAATAGCAGCACAATGTATAATAACAAAATCTTGGAAACAGCCCATATGAGAAAATGTACTTATATACAGCGGATTACTACTCTGCCGTAAAGAAGAATAAACTTGCAGTTTTTGGATACACTTCAAGACCATAAGCTTAAGCAAAATCAATCAGACGCAAGTTTAAATAGTGTGCTATTTCTCTTGTGTGAGAAATCCAAAGTCTAAATAAGGAGCAAAATGGAGAATAGGGATATTAGGAAGTAGGAAGAACTTTTCAAATGGAAAGGGGAACAAGAAACAGGGAAGGGAAAGGAATGAGGGGAAAGGGATTAAAAGGAAGAAAAGAGAATTACATGAAGAAATGGAAATGGAGCTTTTGTAAATGGAGAGGGGGAAAAAGGGTTGTAGAGAAGGGAGGGGAAGGGAGAAAAAGAATTAAGATCTGTTAAGTGCATCTACAAATCCTCCATGATGAATGTGATCTTATGTATTGTAAACATGTACTAATGAAAGTATTTTTTAAAAATTGAAAATGCTTTCTTTAATAATCATATCAATAGGTACAGAAAAAGCATTTGACAAAGATACATGATTTTAAAACGCTTTCCAGAAACTGAAAATAATAGGAAACTTTAATATTATAAAGGCTCCATATAAAAAAAATCTTCATAATCTCTTGAATATTTTAGGCACATGACCTTCTAGATGTAAGTCTGATATTGTCTTGATATTCAAACTTGTATCAGAGGCCATGACCAATGAAATAATACTTATCAAAAAAAGATAACACTACATATCTTACAGTTAAATAAAGCTAACTATGTGGAGAATAGGAAAAATCACATCAGCACCAAGGATTTCTATGCAAAACATAGAACAAAATTACCAACAAATAAATAATATCCATAAAATACAAGGGAATGTTTAACATTAAAAGGACAAGAAATCTAGAAAAATAATGAAAACATTGCAAATTGTAAATTATTAACTAGCATGTATAAATTGTACACATAAATATGGTTCAGTGTGAGATTTCAACATGCATACAGCAGGCACTGATCAAATTCAGCCTTTCTTTTTTTGTTTTTTTTTTTTGGTTTTTCTCCGGTACCGGGAACCGAACTCAGGACCTTGCACTTGCCAGGCAGGCGCTTTGCCGCTGAGCTAAATCCCCAGCCCCCAAATTCAGCCTTCCTTAATGTACACTCTGCCATCTTCCCAACCTTTAGTAATCATTATCCTACATTCAGGTTAACTTTTTAAAAAACATTTCAGCACATGAGAACATGAGGTACTAGTGTTATTGATAAGCATTAATAACTAAAAATTAATTTTAAAATTGAAATTCTGCTTATCTGCATCATTAACCAACAGGAATGGAATGTAACTGTCACCAAAACTTTTAAAATTAAAAAGTTCAATAATGCCAAGTTCTGAGTAACAAATTACACCAAAATTTAGTGCCATGAAACAAATTATTTCACAGTGTTTATAGGTTGAGAGTCTGAGTTCACCTGGGCTGGTCCTCTGGATTTGGGCCTCTTACACTACATTACCTCAACTGTCACCTGGGAGAGGTGTATATCCTACTTAACTCCAGTGATTGTTGGTGTGATTCAGTTTCTTGTAATTTGTTGCACTGAACCCTCAGTTCCTTGTGAGCTGTTCCATGAGATGTGGGCCTCTTCCTGGACCAACTCAAAATAGCCTTTCACCAGAATTAAAAAGGAAGGGGGCCTAAGAGATTGCCTGCAAAAAAGAATTCTATGCAACAGATAGGGAGATGTTTATTAGTGGGAACTGTCTTTTTGTTTGGATTTTTACTAACGTATACACTAATATTTAAATATATGTGTATTTTTTGAACTGATTTTAGATAATAGATACAAAATCATGGCTAATGCCTAAGGGAATAGATAACACAAGGGACCATTAAGTAGAGTAGAAGTAGCCATGGGGAATATTTAGAAGCAGGGAACTCTCTGGCACATAGGCCACCACAATTGAACACATGTACATAAATAAGAGTGAGATGGGAACTCTCTGTGGAAAACATTAAAGAAAGTCCTCTTTTTGCCAAATAAGGAAGGTACTTTGCAATGTCTCAGCCACATTTTGGTTTATCCCCAAACTGCCCCACCCCGCTTCATACACAGAGGTGTCAGAAGTAGTGCTTTGTGAGGTCAAAGCTCCTACTTAGCAATCATTGGCTGGAGAGCATTCTGCTGACCAATCAGGACTGAAGGGTGTGGCCTCTCATTGTCTTGGGAGTATATATATAGGCGCACCAGAAGCGGAGGGTAGACCACAGGGAGGCTTCAATATATAAGCTCAACAGAGTTCGAGGGTAAACCACTGAGAGGCTTCAATATGGGTAAGGCAACGAAGAAAACTCAGGAGACTAACAACGATGTGAGCAAGCCAACCTCAACTACTAAAGGAAGAAAGGTGAACACTCCTCGTCAAGCTAGTCCCACAGGCTGTTGCCAGGTGAGATGACCCAAGCTCCTCTTCTTCTTTCATGTATTCTCCCTCCTCCAAGACTCCCACTCTTTCCTTGCCTAGCCTACCCTTCCCTCGCCGAGCCCATGGCCCTTCTTATGGAGCGCCCTTCACAAGCATATCTCTTTTCCTTCTCCTAGACTTACGTGGATGATGAACAACCCTCCTGCAGTACCGCGGTACAAAAGATAAAGACTCCTAAAAAGGTCAACTTCAAACTTGGTGGCAAGGTGAGATTACCCACCCCAAGCTCCTCTTCCTTGTACATTGATTCTCCCTCCCTAAGAATGCAACTCTTGCCAAGCATAAGCCCCTTCCTGAACCCACACCCTGTCTTGTAAAGACCCTTCACATATGTCCCTTTCGCTTTTCCTGAATCAATACCCTTATGGCTTCAATCTGTTCCCTTTCCAGGTAGTAAAGGCCACCAAGAAGGGAAAAGCACCCGCTAAAAAGAACTCAAAGAAGAAGGCCGCTGAAAACACTCGGAAGCTCGTCAAAAAGATCAAGAAAACCAAAGGCATAACTCTCTTTGGTCATTACCACCGTATGAATAAAAAAATGAAAAAGGATGAGGCAGAGGAAAACTAAAGCACCACCAGTGATGAGCTGAAAA